GCGGTACTTTTCTTGAAACCCATTTAGAGGTTTAATGAAAAACTAAAACTATAGTATATTAACACGTTCACTGCTAAGCGACATTTTCAAAAACGGTTCTACCACGTCAACACGTTGTAATTAATTAATTGTAAAATAAAAATACAAAGCATGTATTTATGGGAAAGATATCGATTTTAGATAATTTTTAATTGCGTTATTAATTATACGAGTTATATCGTAGTCGGTTTTTGCGATAAAATGTTTTATGATAGCGCCGACTACGAGTATATTCGTAGTTGGCGGTTACTTATAACAAAGATTGATTATTTTTACAACAATTATTACAACAAAGATTATTATAAATTTCTTGAATATTTTTACAGTTACTATGTTATTTACTTTAAAATTACTTATATTAATTTTATAAAACCCCTTGAGCTGTGCCAAATAGTTGTGTTTTTTCCCTAACCCCCAAAGCCAGATGTACCTTCATGGAACATGAAAATCCTACAAGTTTGATTGTATGTGGCATGGGTAAAGCAAAAGCATTCTACGAATTAACTCGTAGCTAGCGCCTAAACACAAACTTCGACCTACGAGATAACTCGTAGTTGGGCAGTGAACGTGTTAAAACATAAACCAAAACTTTTAGTTCTTACAGGTGTAGTTTTTAAGATTTTTGTATTAATAGAAGCAATATATTAGATTTCGGCTAAATCTGATAAATCATAAGTATACCTTATCTGAAGCTTTGAACAGATTTTTATAAAATAGCATGCTATGAGATACCAAACCTCTCAGGTTTTGTATTTAAGTAGGTATGCGATTGAGAATTACAACAAACAAACAAATTCAGAACAAATAACGTTTATAAGCATTAAATGTATTCTTAGAAGTATGCTATATGAAGCTAGAATAAAGTCATTATGAAGACGAGTTCTCATTATTAAACAATTAAATGCATTAACCTTAGTTCTCAATATTGTGTTTTATCATTTTTGTATCAAATCGCTATTCAAATAAAGGAATTTTGCCACCAACTTTTATCTCTATATATTATTTTTGAAGAAATATTATGGCAAATATAAATAATATAGCTAATGGAGAAAGAAATCTGTCGCAACACTTGATACACTCGGAAATTCTAAAGATATGCTGCTTTTAAAAATTTTGTGATTGTGAAATCTTTAATTTCTGAATCGACAGAACTATATGACCAGAGGATATACTAAAGTCAAAGCATGAGAACGAATATGTGCATGAGCACGTATAGTTGTCACTGTCCACTGTATGGGAGAGTAGAATAATAAATAATTAATAGTGTTTATAGCTAACACTTACCCATAAATTTTATAGATAAATTAGATTTTATTTACAAACGATCAAATGAAAACGTAGTTTACTTGATCTTGTCTATTGATGGGAGTTTCGTATGCTGACCATATCAGATTTTTTATTTTCCCTACAGATCTCGACCAGAGGTTTTCAACCGGGCGGCGGAATTTCATAGTTTTAGGGAGGGGGAATGTAATCAAGCTTTTATTTAGTTGCTCAATATTTAGTTTCAGTTTATGAATGTTAACAAACTACCTTCAGTCAAGTTTTGATATTTATCAACTATTTTTCTTATATCTTCAGCTGATAAATTAATAATACACGTTAAAAAACAATCTAGATAAATATTGTTACGAAATGTACAGGCGCGATAGGATGGCTTCCCCGCAAAGCAGTTTTTAGGGTTGCCGTAAAATAGCAAGGGAAGGCAGGGTTGTCACATTTGGCGAGAAATCGCCCATTTGGCGATATGCCATGGACTGATGGGGAACTTTCTGGAACGAATTCTTACCAGTTTAGCCCAGAATGTTCTCGAACACAAGCCGAAAGCTATATAAACCCTGCTGTTCCGCAGTCAGAGTGTGTGCCTCGTCTAGAGTGCAAATTAGTGTGTCTCATCTAGTCAATCCGTGCGGAGACGATCGCGTCGACAATCGGCCAGCGAGTGCCGAGTGGGTCGTCGAGTGCATCGAAGAGTCTCGCAGTTAGTACATCGTCAAGAGAGTGTGTTAAGCTCCGCGAACGACTGAACCGAAGAGTCGGGAGCTGTGCTCTGTGCGTCGTCGAGTGCATCGCGAGTTGTAGCGTGAAGAGTCTCGAGAATACGTGGAGTTCCGAGAATTACCGAGCAGAGTCGGGAGCTGTACTCTGGTGCTTTGCAGTGAAGCTGTCTCCGCCGTTATTGCCTGACAGTGTGAAGGCTGTGTCGCTGATTGTGTCAGCCTGTTTATAGTAGATCTTCGACGACTGCAAAAAGTGACTTCGGAGCTGTCCTGATTAATACCGGCCAATAAAGTGTGTTTTGATACTTCATCAAGAAGTGTTGTCGTTATTCACTCCAAATCCTCACGAACCCTGTACGAACGTGAAGGAAGAAAATAACGTAACACCTGGTGTCAGAAAAAAAAAGCAACAATTTACTACACGTATTTTTCATATGTTGGAAAGGTTGAGGGTAACGAACTTCTGACAGTGGTGAAAGGCATCACGTAAAAAAGGCTGAGAACCTTTATTACTTAATTTCATTATTTAATAAAAATTAATTTTCGTGGCAACTATGAACTTTTTCTAAAACTAGTGTTTAGAAATAAATATTACACGCTTTTATTTAGGTTACTTTTTATCTTTGATTATTGCTGTTGTTGTCTTGTCCATATTATATGGAAGAATGTTTGCCAGAGCCTACTCCAAACAAAGGTCGGACTTCTATTTTCCATTCCCAATATTGAGGGAGAGCACCCCTGGGGGGAATCCGGAGGGTTCCACCAATCCACACGAAGGACTTCCGGCTCGCCGCATATTTGGAGTACCACCATGCAGCACCGACACTATGCATTTACAGTGTCTCACAAAAGTGATGGGACACTTGTGATTTACAAAAGGAAACTGTAATAAAATAAATTAAAAAACATGTAAAAATTTTTTGTGGGTGTGTTTCATACTTAAATTTAGTAACAATTATTACATAACATACATTTTCTCAAATATTAAATATTAATTTAATAAAAATACAGTTGTTTAGAACGGAGCAAAAAATGGCTCACATAAGTGATGGGACAACCATTAGATACTACTACGTACTACAATAAAAATATTTTTGGGGTTTTTATTTTTACTCTCAAAAGCAATTGGCAATATTTTATAAAATCGTCTGCAGTATTTCTCTCGAGTTTGTTTTGGAATTTTTGTGTTTTTTAGCTCTGTGCGGCCATGAATGCTAAACGAAAAGAAACTTTGCCTGAAATTCAAAAATTAGTTATTAATCTGCATATTGAACGTGGAAAATCTATTAGAGAAACTGCTGAAACAGTTAACTTGAGTCATTCAACAGTTTTCAAAATCATTAAATGATATAAAAAGAATCATATGATTCAGGATAAAAGAAGACCTGGCCGACCATCAAAGCTATCTAATGGAATAAAGCGAATTATTGTTCGAAATATTAAAAAAAAAAATCCAAGAATGAGTGCTCCTAAAGTTGCTGCTGATTTACAAGCATTATATGGAGTAATTGTTAATCCTGAGACTATTAGAAGAGTAATTCGATTTGCTGGATATCACGGTAGAGCAGCCAGGAAACAATTCTTCGTAAGTGAAAAGAATAGAAAACTCAGACTGGCTTTCGCAAAATCCAACATAAATAAGAATTCTGATTACTGGAATGAAGTTATATTTGCTGATGAGAGTAAATTTAATATATTTGGTTCTGACGGTAGAATCTTGGTTTGGAGAAAACCAGGGAAGAATTTCGCAAACAGAACTTGGTGCCAACAGTAAAACATGCTGGAGGAGGAGTTATGGTATGGGGGTGCATGTCGTCCGCTGGGGTTGGTAATCTTGTTTTTATTGACAGTATAATGGATCATTACATATCTATTGACATTTTAAATTAAAATTTGAAATCTTCAGCACGAAAATTGAACCTTCATGACGATTTTAAATTCTACCAGGACAATGACCCCAAGCACACTGCTTTGAACGTAGACTCTGGCTGCTGTATAATTGTCCTGAAATAATAAAAACACTACCACTATCTCCAGACTTAAATCCCATAGAGAATATTTGGCAAGAATTGGAATCAAGAATTCACAAACACACCATTTCTTCAAAACAACAATTAAAATCGGTGCTTCAAGAAGAATGGGGTAAAATCACTCCAAAAATCAGAAAAAAAATTAGTCGAATCCATCCCAAGAAGATTAAATCATGTTTTTAAAGTGAAAGGAAATCCAACAAAATATTAAAACCTTTTAAAAAGTAAAATTTTTGGATAAATATTTGATGGAAAAGTGAAGTGATGAACTGTCCCATCACTTATGTGAGCCATTTTTTGCTCCGCTCTAAACAATTGTATTTTTATTAAATTAATATTTTAATATTTTGAGAAAATGTATGTTATGTAATAATTGTTAGTAAATTTAAGTATGAAACACACCCACAAAAAAGGTTTCCTTTTGTAAAGCATAAGTGTCCCATCACTTTTGTGAGACACTGTACAAATATCCATGCCGTCTCCGGAATTCGAAGTCGGGCCCTTCGGTGTCCTAGTAGGCCCATCTAGCCAATATACCGTCGAGCTACATCTTTGATTATTTGGTTGCTTATATTAGATCCCGAAGTCTTGATTTTCTTGATAGATCGCATACGTACGAAGCGCAATATTTCACAATAACTTTTATTCGTTTAATGTTGAAGCAATTTTTTACGGATATTTCGGATATGTAACTGCTAAAACTGTCAAACGTAAACTGCAAAATTCCGTTCTTTCCACTATGGAATAGATCAAGAAATAGTCGGCTAAATGAAGTTTGTTTAGAATTTCTAATACAATTTACAGACTTTTAATGATTTTTTTTTTCAAAATAGATCATCGTAATGCCAACAATAAGACGTTGCTAACAACTGAGATATTTTTCAATCAAAATTCTGAAAAAGAAATCTCATCATATTTAGTGTAATCTTACGTTATAGGATAGATTCCAAGACGTCTAAAGAAAGGAGGTGACTTCAAATCTTCCACCGCGTTTCTTAAAGGCACAGTATTTCTCAAGTTCAAGAGGCAGTGACTTTCTTTACAATTCCCCTGTTGTGCAAAATAAAAAAATGAAAAATATTTTTACGCTAAATTTTTTTTAATTAACAACGTACATTTCAATACACAAAATAACCTACATAAGTTATGACGTATGCTGCATAGGATAAAATTCAGCTCATTAAAAACATTTTCTGACAAAAATCGCTTACAAAATAAAAATTTAATAAAAAATACTAGGAAACTGTAATAGACTTGATGTAGAACTTCAGCTAGCTTGTATAAGAGACGAATATTTTACTTAATATTTAAAAACACTTGATAATTGGCAGATTTTATATTTACCAATTTATCAGTTATATATTCAATAATAATTTACCTGTTATAACTTATTAAGACAGACTATTAATAATCTAATTTTTGTAAGACTTATAGTCAGGAATTTTTTTATTTTTTCGCTCAATTTACAATTTCGCTTTGATTTCTTGAAATAATTTTTTCCCACACATTAGAACTTAAAATTACTGTTTTTTATTATACGTCTATAGTTTCACAGATAGATTTAAAGATTAGTTTGCGAATTCTTGAAGTAGAAAGATTTAAAGATTTTTCATATATTAGTTTTACAATTTTATACGCCGCCCAATCGAGATAGTGGTTAGTGACTCTGGCTGCTGCATCGAAGAGCCCGGGTTCAAATCCCGGAGAGAGCATGGATGTTTGCTAATGTATAGTGTCTGTGCGGTATGGAAGCACTCTAAATATGCGGTAAGCCGAAAGTCCCCTCGAGAGGCTACCGGTAGGTAGAGAGAAGTGGGAGACCCTCGGACCCATCCCCCCGGCGCGCTCTCCATCAAAATTGGGGGTGGAACTGACCAAAGTCGTACTGTCATCTGTATGGTGCTCAAAGCTGCAGCATATATCCGATAATTGCATATAATTATATGCCCATATTTATTTTATTCTTTATATTAAAAAATACCAAGATACGTAAGTATTACCGAATATAAAATTCATCAGCTAGACATCTGCGCAACTATTTTTAAGGTGGTAATTTTACTTTCAAGATACTTGACCCTGAACGCTGTCGAACAACGATTTCAGCGTCCAGTCAAAGTGTCCTCACCGCTTTAAATATAGGACTCCATGACCGTTTTAATTCGTTCATGCTACTCAGATGGTTAAGAAATAATAAATGTCATAGCATTGAAATGGCATGTATGAGAATGATTACATTCCATTGTTTAAAATTCTTCCTCAACAATTTTTTTAATTAATTATTGTTAATAAGCACGTGTTATAATTTTTGTCACCGGCAAAAAATTTTGTTATTTGTATTTACTAATTTTCAATACATTTACTTAAAATTGGGTAGTTGTAGAAAAATGTGAAAGGATTCAGATTTTAATGGTCGCCCAAAAGGATTATTTAGTTTTTTACACCTTCTCTGAGCTTGCAGTCTACCAGCTTGCTCTTGTACTCACTCCTGCTAAGTTTTTTTTTTTTTTTAAATCTTTTTAGCTTTATTATTCGGCATCGTTTTCTTCGCATTTACGCCGCATACAGTTCAATAACAAAATCACGTAATTTTTAACAGCATTACAACATGTGTTTAGAATTTCCGATGTAATATTAAGTATTGGCATACATTTTTTTATTCTTTCCAGTCTTTTATCAGTTCATCATCTCAATGCTCAGGATTTTTAATAAAATATCTTACAAGAAAACATGTTTTTTGTCTTCTTCTTAACCTTCTGTGTCTTTACTTTATACATTAAGTACCATGTTCTTAGCATTTACTCGTGTTCTTAGCAAAATTCAATTCCATAAAAAAAAAATCACAAAATATTTAAAAACAGCATATCCTCGAAATTCTCAAAAGAGTGTTAGAGGTTGTCATACATATTACTACTTCTTTAAAACGTAGCCGCATCATAAAAAAGAAAAATGTATATAATGATTTCCAATGATTTCAAAGTTTTGCAAAATATGAAATAAATAATAAAATGAAATTCGAAGTTCCAAATTCGGGCTTTCAAGTGTACATATTCGACTGGAGTCGTTTTTCCATAATGCTAGGGGCATACATGCATACACACAGATTCTTCAATGCTTAATATATTTTAAAATACGATTTGTGATAATATTCAGTGGCAACAATTTGAAAAGGGATACGCCGATTTATAGTGAACCAACACAAAATCCCAATTGAGCTTAATGGCTTCTTTAGGGCTGAAAAAAAGGAAAAGAATCTTTGATGTGCATTACTTTATATTATATTTTACATTATTTTAAATTAGAATAAAAGAAAAATATCTGTGATTTTTTAATGTTTTGAATATCAAATTTACTTCAGTAATATAACCGATCTTATCTACGTAAATAACCTCTATGGTAACGTTTCACGTTGGCCAAGATTCGAACATATTATATTTTTGGTAGCCAATTGCTTTTATGAAATGTAGAGGTTATAAAATGTGCCGTTATAAAATGTTTAAAATGTGCTTGTGATGGGCATGAAATGTTCTGACTTTGAATAACAAATAAAGGAAGTCCTATAATATTTGTTGTATGGAGTCATGTTGTGTGGTTTAAGTTATAAAGGAAGGAAGGATGACTTAACGCTATTGTTCACAATGTCTTAACTGACAAGAATTATGACAAGAACCACAGCGAACATAATGAAGGAAAAGGTAAAACGGTGGTGCGCAAAAAGAATGTAACCATAAAAATTTGTGCTTCGAATGCTCGTCATGACGAAAGAAATCCTTAAGTATGAATTCAGATTCAAACAATTTCGGTGACACAGCTATAGTATGATTTCGCAATTTTTTGCAATCGGATTGAAAATCTCGCTTTCGTTTCTTGTTCAGGTAAGGATGTCCTTACATACGTATTACGTCAACATATTTACATTTAAAACGCCTATTTGCACGAAAGTCAAGCACGAAATTCATCCTTTATTTATATGAAATTCAATTTCAGTACGTGTGAAAATTTCTTTAGGTCTGACTAGAGCAATATTTGTGTCTCATTTTGTGTCAAGACTTGATAAATCAACCTTTATCTAAGTCATTATAATAACTGAAAACTAGTAGTTAAGTCTTAGGATCGCTAGTTTTAATAGCAATTGATATAATTGAAATTCTTGCTATGCATGACGAAGATAAAACTTAGTTTTCTTTTGGAAATCGGCCCGTTAGTAGCTGAGCCGGTGAGACCGCTGTACACTGGTAGTTGGAAGCTGGGTTCTAACCTCTCTCCGTGCTTTTCCGTGAATACGAGTCATTTTTACTCATAATGTCATGAATAAAATCATCTCTTCTTCTTGGAAGATATCTTTCGTGTGTTTTACAATAATCCAATCCCTTAGATCATCTACATTGTCATTTACTTTCATAGAAAATAGTTCTTAATCACTATTTTCTGAAGATAAGAGAATAATTCTTATATCAAAGAAAATGGTCCTTAAGGACTGTATTCTATTAGTCTTTAAGGACTAAGGTCCTCAAGAACATTTGCATGCTTATCAAAATATTCCTTGTCTCAAACCTGAGTTATATGTGAAAAGATGATATGTGAAAAGTATCTAGTGTAATAAATTACTACTGTATGTGAAAGTATGTGAGAAGTATCTGGCTTGATGGAGCCAGATACTTCTCACATACTTTTTTCGCATCAGATACTCTGAAAAGAGCTTCTTTTAGATTTTTAATTAAATTTTTTTTACTTATTATAGAAAATTAAAACACTTTACCTTATTTATCATGCCGCCGTATTGGCAAAGAGGTAACAGATAACACTATTTACGTGCTTCCTGCAACTAAATGCAACTATATGGGCAGGAGTCCCAGCTGCAAACGCTCATATTAGGCAAAGGGTGGTAGTCTAGTCAAAAGTCACCTTGAAGATGATTGCAAATTCACTTCTCACCGAACAACCGGGGGGTCCCACACTGCCTTCATACGGATAAGTTTCTGACTGCACTTTCGAGCCAGGACTAAGGGTTCACACTACCCGTTCTCGGCGCTACTTGTGCGGCGTGACCTAGTCGCTTAAAATGCTCCCTCCAGTACTACCTGGTCTGCCCGTCACCGAGGACATTAACCAGCACAACCGCCCTATCGAGCTACTGGTGCCATCGGCTCCAGGACTTAACGCTAAGTCCACGGATCTGATAGTAATGAAACGATTGTCCCCGTGTTCTGAAACCGCCAGGCTCGTGATTTTATACCCCCCCGTAACGGAGATTGCCTAGGTACAGAGTCTAGCCAGTAGCTTCATTGGGTTTCCTGCTTCAAGCCCTACACATATCAAAGATGCAGACTGACAACTTTCATCTGCAGTTATGTGTAAAAGGAACTTAAAATAAATAAATATTTAAAAAAATTAATAGAATAATAGCTGAAGGCTTTCAGATTTTATATTGCACTCAAATGGACATATTTCCGTTTACAGAAGTATACAGGTTTCGAGAGCGTTTGGGCTAAAAATATTTAAAAACAGCATATCTTTAGAATTTCCGATACAAAGTCTAGCGAGCCGGAGATAAAAATATTTTATTCCCTACAGTGTTGCCACTGCTCACTTTGAAATTCTTGAGCTTTCGAAAATTCGTTAAAGCTCTACAAAATATGAAATAGGCAATAACACAAATTCAAAATTCCAAGTTTGTGCTTCCAGGGGCTGATGTTCATATGCAGGACTATGTTATTTTAAATTTGATGACTCTAGGTACCATTGTTTTTTCACAGTGCGAGAAACATATATATATATATTCATGAAGATTCTTAATTTAGTTTCTTTAAATATAATACAGGACGCTAATATTTAGTGACAGCAATTTGAAATGTGATACACCCTTTTATAGTGATTCGACGCAAAAGGGCGTTTCCAGACTAAGACTCTTCTGGGTTAACGCCGTTTGGACAAAAAAAAATTGAACTCTTTTCTAGAATTTAAAGAAAATTAAGCTCATTTGTAAATGAATATACTCAAAAACAGGTTCCTGGTCTAGTTCTTTTTAAAAGACAGCTATAATGTTTAGAAAT